TTTAGGATTTTGGAAATGTGAAAGATTTTTTCCATGGAATAAAGGAGAGATTTTTTCCATGAAATGGAGGAGAGATTTTCTCCATAGAATGAGGGATTGTTATTATTTTTTAGTGTATTGGTTTCTGTTAAAATCCACTCACTACACCACTACCACCTCACCTACTCCACTAAACCTAACCCACTACACCACTACCACCTCCACTTCACCTACTCCTTACCTACTACACACTCACCCTCTTCTATATATAGGAATCATAAATCATTGTAATAAATAGATCAATAAAATCAATCAATAATACAATTCTCTATTTCTTTTTATACATTGATTTTTTTTTAACATGGTATCAGAGCTAGTTTAGAACCTAGTATTTTCGCTTTTCCGGCGGGCGGCAACCTCACCTTAGCCGCCCGCCGGATCTCAACCTATTCAGCTTATTTTCTACACATACCTTCCCATCACTGCCTAAATCCTCACCTTAGTTCTGGGTCTTTTGAATCGTCTCTACAATTCACTGAATCTCGCTGCCTCATCTCTTGCCGAACCTCAGTGAGCCTCGCCACCACTTCTGGAGGAGCGCCCACCTTTCGACAGTCCATGTAAGCTTCCAAAAGGCTAGAGTAGTGAGGATGAGCGATGATCTTAGCTTTGATAGCTTCAACATCATTCGAGTTCTCATTCTCTTCTTGTTGTTGATCATTATGATGAACAGTACTGCTTTGGTGAGTGTGGGTTCTTATGATTGACGGGTAGTGAAATTTCTGGGAAGTTTCGGCTTCAAGAATCACTGCTACTAAAGCAATTGCCCCACATGGGCATGTCCCTCTAAAACTAAATATATTTGTCCACCCACACACAACTTTTGTCCCCCTCTTTTCATTTCTTTATTTTTTTTTTTTTACTCACCCATGTGACCCACGATGTTCCAACCTACACTTTTTTTCCCCACTTTCTTTATTATATATATATATATATACCTACTCCACTAAACCTAACCCACTACACCACTACCATCTCACCTACTCCACTAAACCTAACCCACTACACCACTACCATCTCACCTACTCCACTAAACCTAACCCACTACACCACTACCATCTCACCTACTCCACTAAACCTAACCCACTACACCACTACCATCTCACCTACTCCACTAAACCTAACCCACTACACCACTACCATCTCACCTACTCCACTAAACCTAACCCACTACACCACTACCATCTCACCTACTCCACTAAACCTAACCCACTACACCACTACCATCTCACCTACTCCACTAAACCTAACCCACTACACCACTACCATCTCACCTACTCCACTAAACCTAACCCACTACACCACTACCATCTCACCTACTCCACTAAACCTAACCCACTACACCACTACCATCTCACCTACTCCACTAAACCTAACCCACTACACCACTACCATCTCACCTACTCCACTAAACCTAACCCACTACACCACTACCATCTCACCTACTCCACTAAACCTAACCCACTACACCACTACCATCTCACCTACTCCACTAAACCTAACCCACTACACCACTACCATCTCACCTACTCCACTAAACCTAACCCACTACACCACTACCATCTCACCTACTCCACTAAACCTAACCCACTACACCACTACCATCTCACCTACTCCACTAAACCTAACCCACTACACCACTACCATCTCACCTACTCCACTAAACCTAACCCACTACACCACTACCATCTCACCTACTCCACTAAACCTAACCCACTACACCACTACCATCTCACCTACTCCACTAAACCTAACCCACTACACCACTACCATCTCACCTACTCCACTAAACCTAACCCACTACACCACTACCATCTCACCTACTCCACTAAACCTAACCCACTACACCACTACCATCTCACCTACTCCACTAAACCTAACCCACTACACCACTACCATCTCACCTACTCCACTAAACCTAACCCACTACACCACTACCATCTCACCTACTCCACTAAACCTAACCCACTACACCACTACCATCTCACCTACTCCACTAAACCTAACCCACTACACCACTACCATCTCACCTACTCCACTAAACCTAACCCACTACACCACTACCATCTCACCTACTCCACTAAACCTAACCCACTACACCACTACCATCTCACCTACTCCACTAAACCTAACCCACTACACCACTACCATCTCACCTACTCCACTAAACCTAACCCACTACACCACTACCATCTCACCTACTCCACTAAACCTAACCCACTACACCACTACCATCTCACCTACTCCACTAAACCTAACCCACTACACCACTACCATCTCACCTACTCCACTAAACCTAACCCACTACACCACTACCATCTCACCTACTCCACTAAACCTAACCCACTACACCACTACCATCTCACCTACTCCACTAAACCTAACCCACTACACCACTACCATCTCACCTACTCCACTAAACCTAACCCACTACACCACTACCATCTCACCTACTCCACTAAACCTAACCCACTACACCACTACCATCTCACCTACTCCACTAAACCTAACCCACTACACCACTACCATCTCACCTACTCCACTAAACCTAACCCACTACACCACTACCATCTCACCTACTCCACTAAACCTAACCCACTACACCACTACCATCTCACCTACTCCACTAAACCTAACCCACTACACCACTACCATCTCACCTACTCCACTAAACCTAACCCACTACACCACTACCATCTCACCTACTCCACTAAACCTAACCCACTACACCACTACCATCTCACCTACTCCACTAAACCTAACCCACTACACCACTACCATCTCACCTACTCCACTAAACCTAACCCACTACACCACTACCATCTCACCTACTCCACTAAACCTAACCCACTACACCACTACCATCTCACCTACTCCACTAAACCTAACCCACTACACCACTACCATCTCACCTACTCCACTAAACCTAACCCACTACACCACTACCATCTCACCTACTCCACTAAACCTAACCCACTACACCACTACCATCTCACCTACTCCACTAAACCTAACCCACTACACCACTACCATCTCACCTACTCCACTAAACCTAACCCACTACACCACTACCATCTCACCTACTCCACTAAACCTAACCCACTACACCACTACCATCTCACCTACTCCACTAAACCTAACCCACTACACCACTACCATCTCACCTACTCCACTAAACCTAACCCACTACACCACTACCATCTCACCTACTCCACTAAACCTAACCCACTACACCACTACCACCTCCACTTCACCTACTCCTTACCTACTACACACTCACCCTCTTCTATATATAGGAATCATGAATCATTGTAATAAATAGATCAATAAAATCAATCAATAATACAATTCTCTATTTCTTTTTATACATTGATTTTTTTAACAGTTTCAAAATGGAAACATGCGCAAAAGTTTGGAAGAGTGTTTTGGTTATATTACTCTAAACAAGACCTAAGGGAATATTTAAAAAGATGGGTTAAATGGAACATAACACTAACAAATAAGACTTAAAAAATGACCCTATATATATATATAATATATTTCTCTTCCCTTATGTCTCCATAGCTAACAATTGAATTTTGAAAATTATTGGACTTATATCACAAAATTTCAAGTGATAACAAAGTTTTATAGTGTACCAAACTAAGACCATTTTGAAGGATAATACATGGTTCATCCGTGACACGTCTGATCATCAATCTCAGAACTTCTAGACATTTGCGTATATGAGTGGAGAGTTGTGGTAATTTCAATAAATTTGTGAGGAATTTTGGGAAACAAAGGGAGGAATTATCATGTTAGAGGTGACTTCCACAATGGATGAGCTGGCAATAGAAAATTTTCCATATTTATGATCAACTTAAATGTTGTCTTTCCTTAATAGTCAAGGAAATTAAAGGAATTAAACAAATGCGACATTATTCATAACAAGATTACACCAAATGGGCATTACCTTCATAGTATAATATAGATATTGTTTGCAAAACTGGACACGGAGATAGCAATGATGGACATAAGGCCTTGTTTGGTTTGATTTTCAGAAAAAAAATTGGAAAAAAATTCTTTACAAACAAATTTTCAAAAGTAATCAAACCAAACAAATTTTTTCAAAAAAAATCTCAAAATTTTGTTTGGTTACCTACTTTTCAAAATCACTCTCTCTCTCTCATACACATCAAATCAAACATTTTTTTTAAAACTCTCTCCCCAAAACAATTTTCTAAAACCATTTCTGAAAAAAGGCAAACTAAACAAGTTTTTGTACTTTTTATCTCAAAAACTACTCTACAAACACAAACCAAACACACCCAAAGATTCTCCAAAAAGGCTTATAATCCAAAAAGAACCCAAGCATGTATAAATTGTAAAATTTGTTTTATTTTTCTATTTGGTTTGATACATTTTGTGTGTGTTTAACGTGTTACCCAAATACCTGATTATCAAAAAAAAATTATGCATGTGTTTAACATAGAATTAGAGGCACAACATCCTTCCATATTTAGCTTAATTCCTTTGATTTTCTTGAACTTTATATACTACAATGTATATGATCAGTGCTATAATGCTATTAAGGGAATCACCATTTGCTTTTGTGTAACCTCAAACTACATCAGAATCCAATAAAACCGGAATAGCATTATTAACAATAGTTGTCAACACTTTGGGTCTTTCAACAATTCTTCATCAATTATAACCTATATGTTATAATTGAACAATTCATCCAACTTTGCTGAACTAAAAGCACAGATTAGTCACATAAATCTAGAACAACGAGAATAAATATCTAGATTTTCTACTCCAACCCCAAAGCTAAATTTTCCTCATAAATTATTTTCTAGTTTGTTGTCTATACAAAAGAAGCATAACCAGAGACTGGATACAGAATCACATCAAACAAATAAAAGGATCCCAAATACTTATATATATATATATAGAGAGAGAGAGAGAGAGAGAGAGAGGACCTTGAACGGCGCCCATTTCTTTTTCGACTTTGGCCTGCATTTCGCGAAGGGCTCCTGCTTCTTCTTCTATCTCCTTGAGTCTCTTTTTCATGTCCTGCAAGTCCTATTAAAACACCAACAAAACAGATTAGGGCAAACCACATGTGAGAGAGAGAGAGAGAGAACTAGTGTGAGAATTAGAGAGAGAGAGAGAGAGGACCTTGGAGTTAGATTCCTCCTCTTCAGCCCTAGACATCTCGACATCGGCATCCATCTCTCCTTCATCGGGTATTTCTCCTCCGTACACATCATGCTCTTGCTCTTGTTCTTGATGCTCCATCACACACTCTCTCCCCCTCTCTCTCTACACGCTCTCGACACACACTCTCTCTCTCTCTCTCTCTCTACATATATAGAGAGAGACGTATGTATGTATGTATGAGCTGAAGATTGTTTGAGCTCTGTGTCGAGTTGTTTTTTAGGTTTCTCTCGGACAAGGGCAATATAGGGCACGGATTGAGAGGCGGGTCGGTGATCGACGGAAAGGAGAAGATGGTAAAAACGTAATTTCATCAATTTATATGGGCCATTCTGTAATTTAAAACAACCGGCCCAGCCCAGGTTCGAAATGGGTCAAACTTAAGGCTGTGTTTGGTGGTGATTTGAAATCACAATTCCACACCTTAATTCAAGCCTGGTGTTTGGTTGTGATTCTCAAATGATGTTTTGAGAACTCTGCACAAAATACCAGGATTGATTTATATAATGACAGATGTGTTTTTCCTTTTGTTGGGAAAATCTTGCTTGGCGTCCGGCCGGTTGACCGGCCAGCTGTCCAGAACAGTAATTTTTTTTTTTTTTGCAATTGATTTATATAATCGAAAAAAATATTTTCTAAATTTTTTAAAATTTTTTATGTGCTTTAAAATAATTTTGAGTTGTATGTTTAGTTATGAGTTGTAAATTTCTGTATTACATATCAAATGTCACATCAATAATTTCCCACTCAAATCAAAACTATTTTCAAAACTCTATATCAAACAAATTTTCATACACTCAAATCATAATTCCACAACACACAAACTCAAAATACAACTCATATTTTCAAATCACATTTACAAAATATAACCAAACACAGGCTAAGCTTTTTAAGTTTTGTCTTTTTATTACAAGAAAGCCCAAGATTTGCAAACCAGCCAATTCAAACAAACATCGGCCCGAACTTTGCAGGGATTAGCTTTTTTAACAAGGTCCAAAAATAAAATAAATAAATAAATAGTACATAAAACAAAATGAAATTATAGAAGCTATTATGGTCGACGTACTTTAAAGAGTTAGGATTGATTATTTTTTGACATAAACACAAATATAACACAATTTCACAATATGAATATTAATAGGGTTGTATTAAAATTAAACGCATGTAAATCTAATGCAACCCAACTAATTCATGTAAAATATGTTTTAACATGTAGACATGAATTCATTCTTGACTCAAAGGTAATCCAAATATAACCTAAAGCTACTAACTATAGAATCTTAAATGTTTTATTGTCAATCATTAGATTAGATTTAGATCTACATATAATGTTAAGGTTAAATGCAATTCTAAATCTCTAGTATTATGCCAATTATAAGAGTTTAAGGCCCCTCCTCCTCCTCCTCCTCCTCCTCCTCCTCTCTCTCTCTCTCTCTCTCTCTCTTACGCTGCAAAGTTCAATCAAAACAAATCTCATAGATTAATTTTTTTGGTTTTCTCACCATTTGCGTAGTGTTTTACAACATAATTCAAAATATAAAAATCATTACAATTTGTTAAAATCAAAATTTCAAAAGACAAAAAAAAAAAAACCTAACCATCCATCTTTTTTCTCTCTCTCCTCTTTTATTTGTTTCTCCTCCCAACTTCCTAAGAAGATCCTAACCTCTTCTTCACCATTTCTCATCTCCTTCTCAATCTACCTACCACTACCTCTACTGTTAATGTAGTCTTTTCCATAGCCACTGCTACTGTCATTACCACCACCCTGCCACTACCACTGTCGAAGCCATTACAAACAACCACCATGACTTTCTTCTACCTACTTTCTCAATGGACAACCATTCATTCCTCTATCTACCATCTTCAAGAGCTTAGATCGCCACTCCACTACCTTACAACTCTTAATCCACTACCTAGCCCTGCCATCCCTTTCTTTCCAATCTAATCTACCATTTACCAGTCTCTAGCCTCAACTAGATCTAAAAATCAGAAGCGAAGTAGATTCAAAGGTTAAGACAAGGAATGGTAGATCATTAAATAGATTAAAGACTACCAGATATGATCCCTCTCTATATATATTTATATTTTCTCTTTATTTGTGATTTTTAAGATTTTGTTTGAGATAATAATGGGAGAGAGTGGCGGTAATGCATGTTGGTATCTGGTGAAGAGTTGTGTTGTTTAGTGGTGGCAAGTGGTGGTGTTTGATAGTGGTGAGTAGCGGAGGTAATGAGAGGAAATGGGAAGAGAAAATAAGGATGTTAGGAAAAAGGTAATTTCATAAATTCACATGGGTAAATCTACCTATTTGTAGTTATTTTTAATCTACGCATCTTTCTGCAATTATTTTTAATTGCCCACTTTTTATTCCTTTCATTTTTTGCAATATTTTTTTTTTTTGTTTTTAAAAAGATTATAAGAATTTGAAAAGTAAAAATACATTTGACACAATGTAGAAAAATTCAATAAATTTAAAAAAAAGAAAAAACTTTTCAATTGTTGTCAAGTTTGTATTCAAATATTATTTTATTTTATTTTTTGTATCGCTTCAGTTTCTACATGCCTTTAATTGCAAAACAAATAAAACAAAATAAATTAAATATTTTAAATCACTCTTTAATTTAAATTATTAAATCTTTCAATTTATTAAATTATTAAATCTCTTTCAATTTAATCATTATTTTTATTATCAAATTGAGTGGTTATTTTACTATCATATAAAATTATTAAATATATTTATTTAAATTACATTTTTATAGCACGAAAAATTTAAATTATTAAGTGAATGTTTCTTCTTCTTTTTTTTGTGTTATAATTTAACATCAACAATGATACATCCCACTAATTTGGGAGCACTAATGGACCTCTAATGAGGTGGAAATTCAAATTTTATTTTATTTTTTGTATCGCTTCAGTTTCTACATGCCTTTAATTGCAAAACAAATCAAACAAAATAAATTAAATATTTTAAATCACTCTTTAATTTAAATTATTAAATCTCTTTCAATTTAATCATTATTTTTATTATCAAATTGAGTGGTTATTTTACTATCATATAAAATTATCAAATATATTTATTTAAATTACATTTTTATAGTGTGATAGGGTTAAAATTATTATTTTTTGATTACCTACAACGCACGGATTAAATATTTTTAAAATGCACGTGACGGCTAACTCAAATAATCATTTCACAGGTATATATGCCACTAACAGGTTATAGGTTCGAGTCCCTATTTCGGCCTAAGACTATCGTGTGGTTTCATATATTTAAAATTTTACCTCGGGTCTTATTGACCCTAGCTCAGGATTCTTTTTTATCATTATTTTTATATCAATGTACAATGTACACATAGGTACACATAAACAATTCAATTTAAAATAATCAAATTCTTTGTTATCATTATTTTTATATCAATGTACAATGTACACATAGGTACACATAAACAATTCAATTTAAAACAATCAAATATATTTATTTAAGTTATAATTTTATAACAAAATAGAATTAAGATTATTCTAGATCATAAAAAATACATAACTTCTATATAAATATTTTCATAAATAATTTAGAGATAATTACAAAAAAATCTCAAGATTTGAATCTTATAACAAAATAAACTCTGAGTTTTCAATTTTATCAATTTAAACTTTAATCTTTTTATTTATTTTCAATTTAAACAATTCACTTATTTTTGTTAAGTTGGAAGAAGAGTATTTTATTCATTAAATTCAATATAGATACATAAAATGTCTAAAATACACTTTTCGTTGAGTTTAATGTTGAAATTCTCATTTCTTTCATTGATTTTACTTAATAGAAATGGACAAGTGATTTAAATTGAAAATAAATTAAAAATTTAAAATTTAAATTAACAAAATTAAAAATTTATGTTGTTATAAGGCTCAAATCTTAAGAGTTTTTTTAATAATTGTCCCAATAATTTTTTAACATTTATGAAATATTATTTTAATATTTTTATCTAGTGCAAGTTTACATGTATAAAATCAAACCACATGATGGGATCACCAAAGTTGTTTACATTCGATGTTCCCATCATTAATAAACAAACAATCCTTGAAATTTACTTAAATTATAAATTATCTCTTGTGATTTTAAAAATTATATTATGTTCCTTAAGGTTTCTAATTTCATAATAAATATGTCATTTTATTAATAAATTATCAAGTTAATTAACAGTTTTTAATAATGTTAAAATTTTATTTCAATTAATAATTTAGATAAGCTTATTATTGTATAGATAAACAGTTAAAAATTTTATTTTTTCAATTAATTCTGTTAAATAAAAAATTTCTGACATGGAGATATTTGTAATTTTCTAAACAATATGGGACAATTTGTATTTTAAATAAATTTTAAGAGGTGTATTTATAATTTATCTTTTATTTGGAGATAGGTTTTATTAAATTAATATGTATATTCTTCTTCTTCTTTTTATTGTTTTTAATTCGGTCCGTAACCAATATACCTTGAAGTTGAAGGAAAGAAGAAGAGGCCCAAAGGTCTTAGATCCAAATTGACGAGAGGGCTTTGTATGGTCTTTGGAAAATTGACTTGATTATACTTTTCTCTCGTTGAAGATCTGGAAAAGAAAGTATTATTTGGATGGTGAGATTTATTATGAATATTATTTTAATGGTGTGTGATGATACAGCATGTTCCAGATAGAACGGGTCAGATTGATTCACGCTTTCCAAACCGATGCCCGAGGTACCAAGCCCACAGAGAGACCTGCACAAGAGTTCAACGGGGAACGAGGAGTCCCCTAGCGAACCCTCTGACGAGCAAGTTAGAAAGAGAGATGAAATGTAAAGATAGATTAGTGATAGAAAAGCTTAACCCTTTCTTTGTCTTCGATGCCTACTTATATCCTCTACTAATCATTTCGTTGTCCCTTCCGACCTCTCACCGTGACCGAAAGCCTATGCTCTAACTTACATTGTTCATGGTGAAGCCGTTCTGCCCCGACGAGGAAGGGTTATCGCAATAAATGTTGCATGAAAACTCATTAATGGCTGATGCGTGGTGCAATAACTTTGAAGGATCTTTGTCTACTGATGTGGGTGAATCTCTACTTGCCAAGTGTTTAGATGTCATTGGCGTTTGGTGTAACGTTGGGTTTCACGAGTGTTGGGCTTTAGTATTTGAATCATGGATTGGACCTTATGTGGTGAGCCATATCTTTTATGGGCTTACCCATGTCA